CGCGGCTCGGTGTGGACGCGGCGGGGGGCTGTGCCGGAGTCTCCTCCCTTTGGCTGGCCGCAGGTTGGTGGAAGGAGGAGGGGACAGCTGCGGGGGCGCGGGGAGGGAGCGTCTTCAGGCAGGGGGCCCCGTCAGGCGGGGGGCCCATGGCCGAACCCGGAAGCCGGGAGCCCGAGACCAGGGTAACTGCTGCGGCATCGCGCTTGATTTCTTTAGAGGGGGGTCGATAGTTGGGGTGAGCGGCGCAGGGCACCTTGGGCCTGAGCAGAGGAGGGGGCCGCAGTCTCAGAGGGAGGATTTGCCCTAATGATGACTGTCGGCAACAGCTTGGGGCGCCCTGCAGGGTGGGGTCTGGGTGAGTGACGGGTGGGGAGCTGTGGGTAGGGGGTGAGAGGTCACCTGGTGCCACCGGAAACGGTAGGAAGGAGGGAGGCAGACTAATAAAAGCCGGACGGAGAAGCCAGGGAGAGGCCAACTGACCCGGAGGTGCCAGGAGGAGAAACTGGCAAAGAACTTGCTGGAGTGAAACGAAACTAACATCCGTCACGGCCTTGTTGGCGAAGCACTTTGCTCCTGCGGGTGTTACTTAGTTCCCACAACAAACCTGCGGGAGCGGGCCAGAAACTTACCTAAAGACCAGAATGAGGCCCAGTGTGGTTGAGGCCTGACTGTGATGGATCTGAAGCCCACATGGCCTGGCTGCGTTTGTTTACCTTGTCGATCTCCTCTGGAGGCCTCATAGTTTTCAAAATAATTGCCTTTGTTTTAAATTTAATCGTGTTTATATAACTTAATTTTTTAACAATGGCTATGTTTAACAACCTGTTGGCATAATTCCTCAGACTCTGACAACTGGTTCCTGCAAGCTGGTGGGGCCAGCACTGCCCTACTCAGCTTTTGCGTATGTTGCATATGCCTGGACTGCTTCTCTCATCACCCTTTCAAAAATTCATTTTATTCTCTCAGGAAGTTGTGAGAATTCATGCTTTGATAAACATTTGCCCAGAGAATCCTCTGAGCTTTGTGCTTTGCAGTGGCAGGCAGAGGGGGTGCCAGGAAGGACAGGACTGGAGGAAGTCCTTGAGGAATGCCCAGTCTGACTGGAGCCCTGCTCTTCCAGGGCCCACCCCAGACAGTGGCCCGGGGTTCACACTTTCCCTAGCGTCGTGGGTACA